CAACGCTCCTCTAGTTTTTAAAAATGCTGGAAGGTAAATTGGCTCCTGTCTAAATTGTCCCTGTATGCACATGATAAAGGGACCTTAGATTATAAGCTCCTTGAGGGCAGGGACTGATGTGAATGTACACTATGTAAAAGCGCTGCGTACATTGTCGGCGCTATATAAAATACCTGTAATAAATAAATAATAAATGTGGGTATGTTTTTTTATTTCACCAAAATATCTATTGCCGTTCATTTTCTATTTAAGTGAAAGCAAAATTTATCAGCCCGCCCTCGTACAATCCCCAGCATAGATTTTTTTAATTTTTGCTCGAACACTTCAAATCTCTCCGCTCAGCTTCTCTGAACTTCCTGTCCAGTAGAGGGAGAGCTCAGTCATCATCAGCTGTCCATCTACTGGCTTGGAGGAGGGAGGAGCAGTGAGCAGCATAGTGTCTTGCCTAGCCATTAGTGATGCAACCCACAGTGCAGTGTCGGGAAATCTCATCTGTAAACTGCAAAATCTTGGGAGATCTCTGGGAAAGGCATTTTTTTCCTCTGAGATGATGTGCATGGTCACATGTGCCAGAGCTCCAGGAAGTAAAAGGAGATGAATTAATCTGCCCTTAGTAAATATGGCCACAGTGAGAAGAATGTGTAGGAAAAGGAATATTAGGTATACAAAGAAGAAAGCAATTATCTAGAAGTATCTGCTTGTAGATTGCCATTTACTAAACGTTTCTAAAGGTGCCTTTGTTGTCATTTTAGAGATATGGGTAAAGTTCTTCTTTAATGGTAAGATGGATGGATAATTTAGTCTTGCAGCCTGTCCCAACCTTATATTCTTTTAGCCACAGCAGCGTGGACAGTTATGCTGTTCGCTGATGGGACGTTTTTGTAACATTTGTTTTGTGTTGAAGGATAGAAAGCTGTCTCACAGCCTCATGGTGTTATAAGATAATTGCTACATAAATTATGTATAATGGGAATGAGATGGCTGACAGTCACTAAGAGCACTGGCTGCATCTGATGTTTGGATGCTGTAAATGTAAATTCCACACAAATCTGTTGCCTTCGCCTGTTTCCTGATGGCGTATAATAGACTGTGTCTCTCCTAATGGCTAATTAATGTGTGTTTTTGACAGTCTGTTTTATAAATATGTAAAATATTTTTTTCATTGTTTTCATAAGAAAACAGACACGTAATCAATAATGTCAGACGTGACAGAAATACTGTTGACACACACTTGGGTTAAAGGGACTGGCAGGAGATAAGCACTTCCTGTCAGCACGGGCCCCGACCTGATTAATATTCCATCTATGGCACGTCCATTAACAAATGGAATCATTGAACTGTATTGATAGAGCAGGTTAAACATTTCGAAAGTTCTGTTGAACTTTAACTTTCAATATTCATGCTAGCTAATTATGGATTTTATGACTGCATGAATTACAGTTTCTGTGTCATTATAGGCAATCTGTTTGACATCTATTTATTTTAATATTCAGACTATCATATTGTTGTGATCCTGTAATGCATTCCATGTTTGCTCTGAGCAGAAGTAAATTTGGAAAGCTTGTCTGTGTAGATTGGTGTTTGATAGTGTATTGTGACCTGTTATCAATACCCCAGGGTGAAGGAAAAACAACTGCTGTGCTCACATGCTACAAAGAAATGGCATCATCCTTGTAGTGGTCAGCTTGGGGTTTTTAAAAACTGGATTCTTGGGTCGTTCGTGGGCCAGACGTTTGCTTTTTGTAGTTTTCCATTTTTTGGGAGGACATAGTTTAGTTAAAGCTCTCAGATTGGGTTCTTATAGTTAATAAATGTAGCATTGTAATGGAAGTGTGTCACTGGAAGGTAGAAGATTTGCTGCCAGTCTTCAATAAGGTCTTGTTTGGATGGGCAGCAGATCACTTTTCAAAAGGCGGGAGAGCAGCATATTATAGAGAAGCATATTATGAAGGATACAACAGAGTTGAGTGACACAACTGTCTGACTTTGGCAATGTAGTTGGTTCTGGGGGGTCTGGTGTTAGTTTTAAGTATAGACAGACTTTAGATCTAAAATGCAAGGCTACAAATGTAGATTTTGTTGATTTGGTGTTTACTACAGTTCAGTTAGTCACCTACCTCTGTCACAGCCATTACAGTGACTGGGTACAAACTTATGCTATAAAAGTGTATGTGTATGTGTAGTTGAAGCTTTTTTTTTTTTTTTTTTTCAGTTTAAGAGCTGGGAATGGTCAAAGCGTCTACTGCTTTCATCTCTAGTACAGCCAACTTGCCCCCCCCCCACCCTACGAGAAAAATGTAACTTTTTATCCCCCTGCCAGGCTCCACAAACTAGCTTCATCAGGAGACCATTCCCCATACACAACACAACGACATCAAACACATGATATCCAAATGTGAATGACATGCCATAAAAGATCACGATAACGTGAGAGGGACTTTACTCTCCTGCATCGCCCACACCTGCCAGGACACTCCCAGAGGGCAGACTCAAACAATTAAAGGTTGCCTCACCACGCTGGGAGTTCAAGGCAGATGGGGAGAACTAAAGATATGAATATCCTTGGTCTCAGTTGGGGAATGAATGAATCCCTTGCCCAATAAGCAAGTCCCCAAGATATTCGGGGGAAACCCAGTCATGCAGATTCAGTCCTTCCAGACACATTTAAACATCCATATTATAACCACAGGAAAATAAAACCTGAATTCCAATGCATTATATATATTCCAGGACATATGTGTAAACCATAAATAATAACAATCATAAAGCAAGTGCTTTAAAGGAGAACTATGGGGTAAGTGTTTTTCCCCATAGTTCTCCTAAGGGTCACGGGAGGACATAAACTAGCGTCCTCCCGTGACCCAAAGTTCAGTATATCGCAAGCTACAGCTCGCGGTATACTGAGACCGCAGCAGCCGGGACGGATCCATGACATAACTGTTGAGATTCACCCAGCTGCGTGAGTGACAGCTGGCTCTGCCTATCTAGAGGCACCTACTTCCCGATCTATTGGGCCGACGTGTGACAGTTTAATTGTCACACGTCGGCTCGAACTAAGAGGATGAGAGATTTCCACACACCTCATAGTTCTCCTTTAAGTTCTCCAAGATCAGCGTATTACTGCAGCGGCCTTGCGTTTACATTCAGTTGTGGCCGCTCAGCCTGAGTAAATCAATGACATGCTAAACAGGTCCACAGGTGTTCGCACGTAATTGCAAATAGAGCGATTTGTGCAGTTAGGGACAGCTGAGCGGCTCTGGGCACACACAGTCTGCGTACAGAGCCGCTCCTCTGCCCTATCCGCTTCTCGTAGCTCCTGGCGCAATTTACATGTAAACAGCCACGGACCCTGACAGCCGCTCATTGATTTTTACAGCTTCCTGTCTGCAACTGAATGTAAACACAGGGCTGTACCCAAAATATGCTCATCTG